CCCTCAGCACTGTATTTCAGTAGATCTGCCTGTTCTGCTCCCTGCTCTGTCTTTAGTGAATCCTCTCACCCCCTGCACCTCTGGCCTGTACCCCAGTTCTTGCATGCATAAATAAATAAATCTTTAAAAAAAAACACAAAAAATGTTAAAAAGTGGCCATGTTGGGGGGACCAAGGAGGATCCTTGAGCTCCAACACAACAGACATCACTTCTGGAAGCAAGGGTTTGGCCTTTTTGTGGGACTGATTGAAGCTGGAGTGTGTAGAGCATGAGGTCAGAGTGAGTAGTGTCCAACAGCGATGTGAAGGTTGTGATCTTTATCCTGACAGCAGTGGGCAACCATTGAAGAAGGATTTTAATTCTTTATGTTTCATGTACTTGATCTGCTGAGCTCCTTCCTTACTAAATAATACCAGTTAAATAACTGAAATGTATCCGTTGAGGGACTACACCCACTCTGAGAGAATTTTATTTTGGAACTCAGCAGGAGGAATTAAAAAAATGCACTTAATTCACATAATAGGCTATTGCTATAGTATTTATTCTGAATTCATATATTTTGCTGAATCCCTATGAATGTAAACTTGTGAATCAAGTGTTTTAGTAAATAGTTGTATATTGTACAAAATAGTCTTCAAAATTTTTTTCAATGGCCTGTGCTTTCTAGGGTCTAAAGGATGATGAATGGTGTCCCATCTCATGCATTGTAATCAAGGTATCATTGTTGTTTCACAGATATGGGGGTGATGGATGCTAAATGACTTGCTCAGTCTAATACATTTGGGTAAACCAGATTTGGGTAAGCCCCTAAGTATAGTTCTCTCTTAATTGTAGCTTAAAATGATAAACAGTGGAAATCTTTGCAGAATATTGCAAGGGTGGATGAATAATTCATCCTAATTTGTGAATTTAAAGAAAGCATGGTTTTTCACAACCTTGTGTTCCTGCCCATTCTCCCCTTTTTGCTGTATTTTACTTGGTTAGTGAGATCTGTATGCTTGGGTGGACAGAGGGTTTGTAAGGAGTGTCTGAATTTCAACCCCAAGGAAACCATGGATGCAGGGGTCAGAGATGTGTTGGTCACATTCTCAGCTAGGAGGGAGGGCCTGGGCCCTAGAGCTGCAGAGGAGAGTCCAGTGTCTCTGTATATCTTGTACTTCTGTGCCCCCTGCCTCCCTCTCTGTGTCTTCACATGGAATTCCTGTTCACAAGTACAGTAGTTCAAGAGCAGTCTTCTTCTTCTTCCTTGTCTTTGGTCTCTGCAGAATGTTGGGGGTTTTAATCTCAGGCCTCAGGGTATAATTCTCTTTGGTAGAGACAGTCTGCTAATGGTAAGTAGTAGCTCTTATACTGCGCATGTACAATCTAATTTGATTCTCGCAACAACCCTGTGATATAGATAAAGTTAGTACCTTCTTATAAATGAAGAAACTGAGGCTCTATTCTGATCTAAACCTTCACTGTTTGACCTGCTATTAAGAGTTTTAACTGATCATCTTGCATGCATCGTGGGCTCCCTTCAGTCTATTCTCTAGACAGTACCCAGGGAAATCTTTCAAAACTTAATCGGTCACACCTCCATGCTTATATCTTTCTCAACCCTGTTACTCTGCTGTTTGGGCTTTGCAGCCTTGCTCCTTCCAGAAAGCCTCCTCTATCTGTAATATCATCCCTCCCCTGACCTTTTAAACTATTTTCCTTTAGATTTTGAATACTTTTCCCTTAGAACACTTACAGCATGTAATTACATATTTGTGATTAACATGCTTGTTATTTGGCCATTATAGTCCCATTTGCTGGCATGTGGTAAACAATAAATAATGATTTATTGAAGGCAGAAATAAGGTACAGGGAATGACTCATCTTGCCTAGGTAGAAAATGGTGTTACCTTTACTAGACTATAAGCTCCGTGAAGGCAGGATTTTTAACTCTTAACTATTATATCTTTTAATAGTGTCTGGCATGTAGTTATAAATATCTTTGTTGCATATCGATTTGCTTGAATATGATTCCAAAGATCTATTATCCAAATCCAGGACTTTTCCTGTGTGCCAAATCTGTCTGAAGACAGGATTTGGAATTATCCAGTTTCTCTGTGTAGTAGAGAAATCTGAGAGTTGGAGTGTGACTCAGTGAGGTGGCTTTGCTTTCTGCAAGTACAGGTCTTAAAGGGCACCCAAATGTCATCAGACAAACAACAGTATCTGTTCTACATCCTGTATACCCCTTTTACAGGTTGCCAAACTAGATACTCATGTCATCCATCCTGCCTCTTTTTGAAGTCCCCTAGATCACATGTTGAAAAACCATCAGAACATTTCTGCTACCAGCTGTTATGTAACCATTTGCTGACCTAACAGTGTATTTCTCTTCAGAAAGTTCACCTAAATGGCAGAAACATTTTAATGATCTGTTAGAAAGCAATTTTTTGTTTAAGATACCAAAAACTTTAAAGAAGCAAGTGTTATTTACTGTCTGAGTTTAGGAAATGGAAATGTCTTTATTCCACTGAATCTATCTCTTTCCTTATCTTCAAATTTGAATATTTTCCTGATGGGGGTGTTAACGGTCTCAGCATCAGGATGTAGACAACACAGAGATTTGTGCTTCATCTTGCTGCCCTTTGCATTTTCAAAGAAATTGGCATCGCCTGCATTACCACAGATCAATTATTTATTGTAGGTGTCGTCCGTCCACAGTCCTGAAGTGAAATCACAGTTTGTGATCATGATGATTAGTGTGGAATTCATGTGTCAATGTGGAAGTGCTTATGCCTGATAGCGGCCATTGCGGGCATCCCTCTCTCTCAGACAGAATGTTCTGTTTCCAGGTTGGGTGTTGATGGGGAGAAAATGGTGCCTACTTTGTGGTAACTGATTGTATTAGCCATCTGAAAAATTAGTCATTTTCCTTACTGCCTTTTAACCTACGACCAGACATCGTTTTGCCACATTTTCCCTTTAAGAGAAAAATTTGAAAAACTTCCCAGATTATTATTATTATTATTTTATTAAAATATTTTTTAAAAGATTTATTTATTTATGCATTCAAGAGCTGGGGTACAGGCCAGAGGTGTGGGGGGTGAAAGGATTCACCAGAGACAGATGGGGAACAGAACAGGCAGACTGACTGAAATACACTGCTGAGGGGAGCAGCGGGTGAGACAGGAGAGGTCTGCTGCGCCATGTGGGTTGCTCCCTGGCAGGCTGGGGATTGAACTCATGCTGCAGAGGCTGCGGATTGCTTCATAGTGCGGTGCTTAACCCCTTGCACCACCAGGGAGGCCCCAGATTATTATTTTAAGGACTGGTTGGGTAAGGGGTTTCCAGCTAATCCCAGACATTAACTGCACTCTGCTGGCTCCCTGGGTAATGTGGCAAGGGCACTCAGTTCAGTGGTCTTAGAAATAGACAAAGAGGAACTCGAATTTAAAGAATTAGTAGTATATTTATCTTTTTTTTTTTTTAATTCTTTTTAGCTCTCAGAATTTTCTTTTGTTCATTTGTGAACATTAAATGTTCTGGTATCCTTTGACTGGAACATACTAATTTGAAATTGGGGCAAAATGACTTTTACACAGTTGACCCCAAATTGTCCTTTCAAGATCTCAGAATATCCTATTTATATTTCTAAAGGAAGCATTTAGTTTATACAGTTCAAAGAGATTCAGTGTGGTTAGAAAACCAGGGTGGGGAGTCCCTGGCCTTTAAAAATCGAATGTTGTGATATAACCTCTGAAAAGAAAGAGGAGTTTGTATTTCTCAAGTTTTATTTCACATTACAACTTTTTGGAAGCTTCTGACCATCCTGCATTCTAATTGGGCAAGCAATGCCTGAGTGCTGTGTTACGGCACTATGAGTGCTGGTCTTGGCCTAAACCAAAGTTCCACTGAACTTTTTTTTCTCTGCCTTAGGATCCTGTCACCACATTGGGAAGATTAGACAAAAGCTCTCTGCAGTTTATTTTCTTTTTGAACAAGTTACATTATGGAGGGACTTTTAAGCTAAAAGAAGAAAAGCTCCCTCTTTGTTATAAGCAGCAGTGTGTAGTTTCAACTTGCCTTGGACTTCCTTGGAGATGTTTTAAGATCCGCTGTAAACTTGCTGTGGTTTGCCTTTGGGCACCAAATTGTTTAGCTTGGCACTATTATGTCAATAATTGCTGCATTTTAATAATTGCCCAATATTCTCGTCAGCAATTTGCAGTCTATATTTTTACCAGAACCTTTTGCCTAGGCTTGGTTTAAACCCCTAGATTAACACGTGCAGTCCCACAGATCTTCTGTAGCTTTGGGCTGGGGTGATGCAGGCTCGCTGGACATTCCCACGAGCTGCGTGCTAGTTAGAGTTTGTGTTCCAAACCACCCCCGGGAAGCCATCTTCTTTTGAGAGCTCCTTACAGGATTTTGCTTTTTATAAAAATTGCCCTTTGTGTTTGGTGTCTTCTTTTAGAGAGGGCTTTCCTTACAGCAATCCATTCAAGAAATCCAAGTTTTTGAATAGAAAAAGTAGGGGCAGGCTCTCTTTGCTGTTGTTGACTTTTTAACTTGACAGAGGAGATTTCCATTCATCTGAGGTGATGTGGCATTTTGGTGACAGACATGTTGGACTTGAAGGGATGATCGAAGTCAACTTTATAGCTTCCAAAATGATTTCGTCAGTTATAATTTTCTAGATAAGTCTATGCCACCAGTGACTTGTGCCTCAACTTGACTGGCACTATTATTTGTTTAGTGGTTCCAGTCTTTAACTTGTCTCCTTGTTTTTGGTCTGTTGTAATGTTTATTTTGCAGCTAACAAAGATTGACCTGATTTTACAGAAGCTAAGAATTACATAAATAACTATACTCTAACTTTTCTACTTTACAAATAAAAACATACCCGAAAGAGTGTGACCCAGTAGTGGTATAATAGCTAACATTTACTGACAGCATGTTATGTGCTAGGTTACTGTTGTAAGCATGATATATATTAATGACACATATTAACTCTTTTGCAGCAACCCATAGAGTATACAGAATAACCAGCCCAACATCAGCATAATCTGCTCATCTTCACCCATTTGGTAGGTAGCCCAGTGGATTCACAGCCAGGCAGACTTTTACCTATCATCATAACTCATGTTCTATTAATGCTAATTAATTATAGTGTTAATATTAATCACTATCATATAGAAAGATTAAGCCACAGTGCCTCCTGTATATATAATAAATAATTTGAAGACATACATACAAACTTCTTTTTGAAATTAGAATTTTATTGTTACTATTTCTGTATAGGTAACACTTGGATATGCTATAAAACCCCAATGGGAATTCAGTGAAAAGGATCCTGCCCCCTCCTACCAATCACCCTTTTCCCCTTCTTCTTATAGGTACTTAGTAGTAATCCTGCAAAAGGCCATTTTAAATATCCTTTTCTTAACTGTGATGTAGTGGACCATTTTATAAGAATTTCATTAACTATTGTTTCTGTATTTTTTGTACTGGATCTCCAAGTGCCCAAAGTAGCTTTGTCTCTGAAGGAAGGAGCTAGCTTTGCCAATGTTATTTCCTCTGAGGATAACAAGATTGTAACCCCAGCTGTTTGAGGTGGTTCCTAGAAATCCTATGACCCTGTCTTGCCCAGGGTTTAGATCAGGCATACAGGTCTCTGTGATTTTGTCCAGTTTTGGGGCCACTTTTAGTCCTGATGAAAAGGGATCATGTTCTAATATGGTGCCTGGAACATAGTAGGTGCTCAATAAATGGTTGTCGAATTGAAGAACTCCTGTGGGTTATGCCAGCTCAGGGCTATAGGGCAGGAAGATGTGCTCAAAGAGGGAAGGTTTAGGGCCACAAGATGTTCCGGTTAAGCATACCACCACAAAACTTACCACATAAGACTATAAATAGGAAGACGTTAGAAAGGACCTTTTGGATGCTGTAGTCGGGTAATGAGATAGCCTCAGGTGGACTTGAGAGACAGGGAAGGCTTCTCCTGTTAAAATGTTGGCAAATAGTTGAGGTAAGAATCTTGCCTTTTAATGGTCCTTTATTTTTTCAGATTGATTCTAAGAGTACTTTAATTTGATTTCTTGTGATCTCTCTGTCATTATAACATTAGATGGAGTCTCTAATCAGAGTTGTTTGTTCCTGGCATCAGGGAATTCAATGTTATCAAGTGTCACCAATGACTTTAGTGCCACCGCATATCTGATATTGTGTTACAGGTACACCTTGATTTTCCTCGATGTTCTTGAAAATATTATAGAAACACCAGAGTTAAAATGTCAAAAATAAGCATGTCTTTTAAAACAAATCTTTGTTAGGTAATTATTACCCCATCTCAGTTTGCTTTGAGTGCTCTCGTAGCATTTATTTAAGGTACATTTATCTTAAACTTTTTAGAAATTCTTTCATTTTAATGTGTTTGGGTTAAGAAAAGATGTTCCTACATCAAGTTCTCTTCTTGAAAATATTTTTATTTTTACAGGCAATTTGAAAATTGGAAAGAGGGATTTTTAAGGCCACTTCTGATTTGTAAAGATTATCTGTGATCTGAAGAACTAGAGGCTGCGGTAACTGCTGAGACACACTTTTGAAGAAATAAAAATGGCTTCTCGTCATGTGATTGTCGTGTTTACCCTGATGAGTTCCTGTCTCGCTACTGCAGGTAAGTTGTATAATACAAATTGCATGTTCATCATATTCTTTTGGATATATTTTTCCTCAGTCTCTTAAGTTTAGAAAAATTTAGGACATATTCCTTGAGTATTTGGTTCTTCACAGAAATGAAATACAGTACTGATAATTAGTACATTTGTTATGTTCTGTATTAGGAGGCTGGTACTAGACATACAGACATGGGGAACGCAGATGCTTAACCAGCCCTGTGTTGAGGTGGATAGAGAACAAATATGCTAATGGTTAATCCCACATAATTTTGTTACATACCCGGATTACATTTATTTTCTTGTTATAAATAAGATTTTCAGACAATCCTTTTCATTATTTTGTTTAATGCAAAATAAACAAATCTAGGTAGAGACCATCTAGATGGAAAATATTTAATTTTGCTTATTTCAAATACTTTATTTATTTTAAACTGTTTAAAAAAGATTTATTTTTATTTATGCTTACAAGAGCTGGGGTGTAGTCCAGAGGTGTGGGGGGTGAGAGGATTCACCAGAGACAAGAGTGGGGAGCAGAACAGGTGGATTGACTGAAATACACTGCTGAGGGGAGCAGCGGGCCAGACAGGAGAGGTCTGCTGCATTATGTGGGTCAGCTTCCTGGCTGGGGATTGACCTCATGGCACAGTGGCTGGCCATAGCTTGGTAGTGCTGAGACTTTAACCTCTGTACCACCAGGAAGGCCCCCCTTATTTTGGATACTTTAATAGGCAACTTTTTAAAAAGTACAGAAGTGCTTCCTGGAGGCCATCAGAGTATTGAGGTTGGAGGTAACAACCAAGTGACTTTGTTGGAACATCTTTGCTTAAGAAAGAGTATCAGATCCCCTATATAATATCCTACTTAACATTGCTTGACAAATTGGGAAGCTTAACTTGCTCTATTTTGTTAGAATTTGCTCTGTATCTGTTCTGCAATGAGCTTTGTAAAACCAATTTGTTGGACCAATTCTGAAAACTCACTGGTCTCAACAGGAATTGCATTGACTTGAAAAATGATTAGCTTCTTGGATTCAGCTATTGAATTATACTTGCAGATGAGAGATAGTGACACTTATTACCATTTATTGAGTGTGCACTGTAACTAAGCACTGGGCTAGATAATTATGGAATATAACCCCAAAAAGGATATTCTTATTTAAAGAATTCAGTCACAACTCTGAGGTAGATAGGATTGTTTCCCCCATTTTACAGAGGATGAAAAGAGACATGAAGAGATTAGGTAGCTTGCAAAGCATACTATCTTAGGAGGTGGTGAACCAGCTTTTCCCTCTATGCTTTTAACTTCTGCGTTATACTGAAGAAGCCAGATAACCATTAAGGCTCCAGTAAACTCCAACTAGGAGTCATATGTGTCATATGAGTGAAAACTAGTTGATAGAAATTGCTTTGTGAGATTGAAAATCAGAATACTCCCCTCATCACAAATATCTTGACTGAAAGTTGCTAGTTTTTTTCTCTTGAGCCCAGTGTGAGAATTAGAACTGATCATTTCATTTGTCAGCAGTTTCATTTTGTCTCATGAAGAGTTATTTGCGTTTGAGCCTGTGTGCTAAAAGTGATATTAATGAAAATCCCATTGAAAAAAATAGTAAAAGGGGGGCCCTTGATGGAACATTTGCTGTTTTGATGACGTGCTTAATCACACCTGGTAAACTGAGGCTAACTTTTCTGCTTTCATGGATGCCTGGGATAGACTAAAACATAACTGAAGGAGGTACTTTATGGAAGAGTGTTGACTAGGATGCTCTGTGTAGCCTAGATATATTTGACAGTGAGTTTCCTTAAAATGTTTTTTCTTCTTTCAAGCGATTGGGAATTTTTTTTTTTTTTGAGTTGAAACACACTCAAGAGCTCTGCTGAGCTGGAAGGTACAGTAAAATTACAGTATTTATAGTATGAGGTAACTGATTGCTAGTGTAGAGGTAGAGATGACTTTTTGAACAACCTAATGGGACTAATGAATGAATGGAAGGAGAAATGTTTTGTATGTTCTGATATTCAGTGGCTTTCTGAGTAGGCCCAGCATACTTTACAAAATGCTCATGGGGGGCATTCTGGATGAGTTCAAGGAGATAATAGTAATATAATAATAATAATGAATTTTTATAGATGAAATAATTACTGTGTGCCAGACCCCATTCAAAGTGCTTTATATAAATTATCTCACTTCATATTCATACCTACCCTAAGAAGTATGGGTACTTTGTTTATTCCCCAGTTTATGGATGAGTTGAAAACTGAAGCCTTGACAGGTTAAGTAACTTTCTCAAGGTCATATAACCAAGAAGTGGCAGATTTAACCATAAATATACTTAGTCTGGGTCTGCAGATTATACCTTTAAGACTCTATTCTGCTAGGGAGTACTGATCAGAAGGGTGTTGGTTTTTGAAAGAATGATAATGGGTTTGCTTTATGCAAACTGTGCCTTTTAGAAACATCAAGCAGAACAGTTATTCAGAGAGTCCCTGCTAAATGCAAAACCTAGTACCAGTCACTCAGGGATATACAAAGAATTCTCAGAATCATCCTTTCTTTTGAGTCACTTGCACTTTAGTTAGGCATGTAACATATCACTGTATTACCAAGTAATCCAAATATGGTGGAGGCCAAGTGAGATCCAAGACCTTAATTGGGTAAGAAAGGGAAGTGGCTTAGAGGAGCCAGGGGGACTTCATGGAAGTACTAGGTCTTGAGCCCTGTTTTGAAGGCCAGACAGACTCTAGACAGGAGAAAGCATTGGTTTGATCAGATGGGAGAGGAATGCCTAAGATAGTACAGGCACTGTTTTTTACTGAATGGATGACCTGGAGAACTGTATGGGAATATAGCAGGGTCTGTTTGGAAGGAAGGATAGGGATAAAAATGAGACTTGTGAATTTCCTTTTGAGTTTTTCTACCATCTTCTTCCATCCCCCTATACATTGCTTAACAGTTCAGATGGTGGCCTTACAGTGTGAGGCTGGGATGGGAAGATGGTCTCCTTAGCTTCAGAGACAACAGTGCCTGGCACATAGGCTGACTTTTATCAAGGATTTGCTCTCTGTTGGTTAACTTATTTTGTCTTTATGAAACCCTATGAGGTGGGTATTAGTATCATCATCTGCATTTTACAACATGGAAACAGACTCAATTTGGTTAATAATTTATATAAAGTCCCGCAACTAATAAGTGGCAGAGCTGGGACTTGAACCCACACAGTTTGGCTCTAGAGCCCAACCCATCAACCATTCCATTGGAGTCTCTGTTAGAGACCCTCAGTGTGGAATGAACAAACTCTTTTGTTTGATTAATTAAACACCACTTGAGTAGCCACCCATGAGACATCCTGGATCCCAGTTAAGCTCCTGTGACCTCCGAGAGATGTGTATAAGTCACCAGAGTGGAAGAACTTTACTTAAACAGGCCTTCTTTTCATACTTCATTGACATGATCATGGAGTTCTCTCAAAGAGTTCTCGGCAGCAGAAGGGGTAAAGGCTGTCAAGATCTCCCTTAGATACTCAGCCAGGGAGTATCTAAGAGCACAACAGAGCACATAAATGAGCCTGAGTCAGAGTAGTGGGATCCTTCTTGTTCCAGCTCCAGGGGTTTGATTGGTCCTCCAGGGAAAGCCTTTCCTCTCTGCTTGTGGCTGATGGTAAAGGAGCAGGGACAGTAAGCTGGCCCCCAGCGCTGGTGGTTACTCTGACAAAACTCATCCTTCCCTTCCTTCCCTGGCTCCTTGGATATTGTGCAGCGCATTGGGGAGGGCAGGCTGTGCTTTTAGTGAGCTGTGACAGGACCCTTATGCCTGCTAATTAGAGATGACTTTTGGTGTTAGCACCTTAGATCCTGTAATCTATCTAAGATAAGTGGGAAAATTGGGAAAAAAAATGTAGATGTTTGCTCCTGCGGGCTTAAGGCTTACTAAGTTTTTATTTCAGAAATTATTCTGTTACATAAAAAGAGAATAAAAATGATTCTGCTGCACATCTTTAAAAAATATTAGCTGCTGCCTCTGAGGCTTGCCTGAGTTAGGTAGGGCTGTGTTCCCAGGAGCCTTAATGAGAAAAAGAGGCACATGTGAATTTAGGGAAATCAGTTTGGTTGCAAGGGATGGACTTGTCTGACCCCACGTGCCCCTGTGCCAGGTCAAAGGGGTGCTGCTCAAATGAACTCAGCAGGAACCTTGGGGCCGTTGACAGGACGGTGGGTGTTTGCCTTGTTCCTTTGTCTCTGTCCAGTGTCTCCTCAATGCAGTTTGGAGTTTTGCCTGTGACCTGACCTGCACACACATTTCTATTGAGCAAACACATTTCTTTTCACCTCTATTGGATATACCTGAAATTCCAGATATGCTCTGTAGGAAAATAGAGACATTTTTGGTTGGAGCTTTTTTCCTGCAAAGAAAGGCCTGCTAAACTTTAATCATTGGCCCTAAAGAGAATGTTAGAAAGAAAATTACAATTAAATTGAAACAAGAAATGATAAAAAAGTTTGATGATGACATTAAAGCTAGCAAATTTCCAATTTTTGTTACTTTTCTTATTTTTAATTTCATTGTTTTTAATGTCAATAAAAGCCAAATTCAGTGTAAGAAGACAGAATGAAAGGGTTTTTTTTTTTTTTTTTTTTTTTTGTGTGTGTGTGTGTGTGTGTGTGTGTGTATCCACCGAGCAGAGATTTTAGCTGGTTGATACTTGCTGTGTAATGGGACAAGCTGGCTAACTGGAGTGGGGGGGGGGGCGTTAAAGGAATAATAAAACCTCTTATATTTTAATGCTTCAAAATGCTTTTACAACTACTGTTTCACTTGATTCTCACAGCAACCCCTGAGATAGAAAGTGATTATTTTCTTCATTTCTAGATTAAGAGTAATGGGACTTTGAGTAAGGTAGAAAGATGGCTTAGCTCTTGATCCAACTAGAAACAAACACGCTTCTGCAGAAGAACCAGACTAAAAGTCCTGTGGTCTGTTTGCTGCACACACTCACAGCACC